CCGTTCAGTGAGTGTGTAGAGAGGCCTACATATCTCCTACGTGGGGTTGGCGAGTCTGTGGGCTGCTACTCGTTATTGTGGAAGCGGATACGCACACTATATAAGACGTAGTTTTGTGATTGGCTATAAAGAATTTAAAATCGAGCCAATAGAAACACCCATGTCAGTTGAGTTTCAAATCGACCATGAGCAATGGTCACGACCGAGATGTATGGACCCGCTCATTGCCGAGCTCACGGACAAGGCTGCGTCGACGACGGGCGGCGTCAAGGAGGCCAGCCTTGACGCACTCGTTGCGATTCACAACCGCGTCGGCGCCAAGGTCTCGGCGTCGGCTGTACTCGCAGTGGAGGACGCCCTTCGCGCCTCCTCATGATGGACGACGACCTCCGGCGTATGCGCGCGAGCAACGGTCTTGCCCTCGCGCTCTTGCTCGGCAGCGAAGAACATGGTGTCGCGATGGTCGAGGAGCTCGTGCAGCCGTCGACGGAGCTTTGAACGCTTCACCACTTGGCGGCGCTGGTAGCATCGAGCTTGCTCAGTCTCTCGCTGGTGCCGACGTGGGTTGCCGCCACGCTTGCTGTCGTCCCGACGCTTGTGGCGCTCGTTTGGGATGAGAACCCGCTCGTCAAGTTGACCTCGCGGTCAAGGTCGACGCGGCGCTTGTCTCGGCGCTCGCTGTGGGCCTCACGGACGCCACCAACAATGTCGTCAAGCGCATGGCGATGCGCGTCGTCAAGCGCATGGCCAAGGTCGCCCCGAAGCGTGTGCGCGAGCACTTGGGTCCGCTCGGCCGCCGATTTTTGCGCTCATCAAGAGCCCAACATCAGCATCAAGCCCGTACCAAGCATGCGCGCTCGTATTCTCTCACATGGCGACGGCAAGAGAGCTTCTGATGCGTTTCCTTTGTTGAAAATGGCACGTGCCATGTAAAAGTTCCTCATGAAGCCTCAAATCGTGCAATTCGGCATCACTTTGGGCACGAGCGCTGTAGGCCGCGCACGACGGTGTAACTCGGTGCTCCGTGCAATACAAAGCAAATTGAATCACTGTACGACGTATGCGCCATTTTGCATTTTAACCGACGTTTGCCATCAATTCGCAATCGGGAGCGCACCGCGACAGCTTGCGTGATATTAGCCACATTATCCAGTTATCTGGTACAGCCGCCCGATCGACCACTCTGCGTTCGACAACGAAATGGCCAAGACTTGGCACAGTAGTAGAGGACGCTGTGGAGAGTACGGAAAGCGAGGGCGCGCTGACGTACGAGGCGTACAGCAGTCGCGAGACGCGACCCAAGACGCGCGCCAAACTAAGATCGTAGTGCCATCTTAGCGGCATCACGCCAGGACGCCGACGCCGCTTGCCGACAACATCACGTTCGAAACGGAATCGCCCATAGTGAGTACAGTGATAGAAGACACTTTGGGGAGTAGACCGCGATTCGTCGTACAACGCGCGCAATTCTCGACAAGGGTCAATAATCAGATTATCACGCCGCAGTCTTTGTCTTCTGCACTTGTTGCGACGACCTCCCCTTCCAGCGGAACAAGATTGTGATTCCTAGCAACATTCACGAAGTGACGACGTCCAGCACATTCTGTGGAGCGTTTGGAGCGAGATGCTTTTAGCTCACAATGCTCGGGCTTCCGCACTCCCGGCTATCTATTGTCACATCGCGTGTGATGGTACACAGTTGAGAGGGAAGGAACAAACGAGAAAGCACTTGTGGCGGAGAAACCAAAAGAGGAAGTGAGCTGACCAGGCTCGGTGTATATTAGCGGAGCGTTGGAGCCGAACTGGTGGCTCGCAGAGACTTTATGGCTCGGCTGAAGGTTTATAAGAGGCCTGCAAGTCGCAGGCCTCTCATAAACCTTAACGATGTGCTGTAGCAGCTGGCAAGACAGTGGGCCTTGTTATGGCAGGCTCGGAGGCTGGGCGCGTGTGAGCACTGAGGGCCGGAAACCGAGAGCGGTTTCGGCTAGTCGGTTGAGCTAGCCGACTCAGCTCACCGGTTAGGCAAACCGGTTATACTGTGTGTGTGCGAGTCGGCTCTCGCTGGTCTCTGTGTGTGGGGGAAAACATCATCGCCAAGGGCTACCCCCTTGAGGCGACGCGTGCAAAACCCCACACGCCGAGTGACAAACGGTGGGCAGTGATGGGCCATGGTAGGCGGCGAAACCTACCAAGAAGCTGCCTTCTTGACTCTATGCGTTCTCGTATGTCGGAGGTCGCAAACTGTCGATTCCTATGACGTGGCACTCGGAGAATGTCCCATTTCGACGCAAACGTTCAGTCGTGTAAAAGCAAAAGCGAGCACGACAAAGGCGAAACGCAGTGCTTTTACAAGAGAATTGTAGCCTTGAGCGTTGCTCATTCCGCAATTTGCGCTGCAGGGCCTCGGCCGCACGGCACCGGATCGCACGGCAGAGCGCTCGCAAGCGGGCGTCCTGTCGACTGTGGACGGTGACACTCGTGTGGCCGAGGTCCTTCTTTCGCCACGCATCCCTGCAGTACAGGACGTTGGCTCGCCATGGAAGCAAATATCGCAGCGTCTTCATGCGCGAGTTGGCTTGGGTCTGCGTCGTCGAGGATCGATGATCGCCAAGCTCGATGGGTGGTATCCGAAACGTGTTGAGCAGCGTCGCAGCCATCGAGCACCTGCATTAGT